TTTTCTAGTACACGTGGATGGTGATGAAGCTCGTGCATCAACCAGCTTAGAGCATCTGCAGTAGTGTCCCGACCGGCAATCATTCCAGCGAAGGCAATGTCACGAATGTCAGAAGGAGTGATTGTCTGTCCACTCTTCTCCATGGAGTCGAGTATTATCGACACGATGTCTTTATTCACCGGTTGGTTGTCGCCTTCGTGAGTACTACGTCGGTTCATCGCACTCGATATCGTTTCCATCAGATACTGATTGATTACCACCATGTAATCCCGAAGTAGACGTTCGCTTCCCACATTTAACCAGCGTTTGAGCTTCCATAGCCACACTGGATATGAAAATCTCTCTGAACAGATTTGGTGCGCTTGGTCGAATGCGACTTCAAACGGATGATCATCGAGGGATTTCAAGTTACCAAGTTTCCGTCCAAAGCCGATTTCAGTGAAAGTCTCGAACGTGAACTTGTTCATCAGTTTGTAAATGTCAAGTTCGTCTCCGCTTGCACTAGCCTGTGACAGTATTTGCATTAAAGCTTGCACATTTTTCTGAACCACAGGCGTCATGAAGTCGCGCAATGCTCGAGCACTGAAGAGATTCACAAGAACTTTTCTGTGGTATTTCCAGCGGTCTCCATTAACGAGCAAGATGCCGTTCCCCATAAAGTCTGAGAAGACCACGTGCACGTCGATTCCTTTGTTGAAATTGCTGGCTTGTTTTGTTAACACCTGTTCGAAATGTTCTGGTTTGGCCAAGTAGATGACCTTGTTCTTCCCGACTAATCGAACGCCGAATGGTTTTCCGCTCCGTTCTTGGAAGTGATCCGAGATCCAGTCCTGGATGCGTGGAATGTTGGCGACCATATCGAGTGTATTGCCTAGCAATGGAATTCCTGCGAGAAACGGTACGGGAGTGATACCATCGGGCGGGGAGCTCTTCTTGTAGATCGAGAAGAGCGTGACGACTGCAGTAGCCCCCGCCAGGCCAAGAAGGATTGGACCGAGCTGGTCGGCTCTAGAGGGCGATCGCAGCATTTGCGCCGACGCGTCGAAGAATTCCAACTGGCTTCTAAGCACGCGTATATTTTTTTTAAGAAAAGTGTTCAGTAAAACTAACAGAAAATATTCCAAGTATTATATTAAGAGCTGCTAGAGAAACATCGCTACATTTGGTTGAAGCGGGTTAGCCAATCACCACGCGAGAAAACATGCGGCTGGATTTGCCCTTTATTGTAGGAATCGGTTGACAAGGTGCATTGAGTCCCGAACGTCATGGTGCTGCGCACGTTCTGGAATATCGGTGCTGGGCTGGTGTATCGGCTGGTGAACAAGCGGTCGATGGGCAAAGGAGTCATGGGCGTGAGCTACCCGTCCGTGTGGAAAGGGAGAACGGGGCTGCTTGACTGTGACGTGAACCTGCATCTCAACAATGCGTCCTATCTCTACAGCATGGAGCTCGCGCGCTGGCACTTCACCGCGTACGGCACCTTTTAACTCGACTTCTAGTCACTACATGATGCTAACCTTTACTCGTTTCAACCAGTGCCAATGGCATATTGTGGCAGGCAATCAAGAACCGCCGCATGGTCCTCGTGGGCTCGCAGGCTGTTCGCTATCGCCACGCGATCCCTCCTTTCCACGCGTATGAGATCAAGACGCAGGTGATATATTGGGACGACGATTGGATCTACTTGTTGCACCGATTCGAGGACCCTACGACTGGCAAACAGTTCGCGGAAGGGCTCGTACGTGGCGTCATAATGAAAGGCCGTCGTCGAGTGTCTGCAAACAAGATTTTCGCCGAAGTGAGTGACGGCGAGATGATAGAAGCGCCGAAGATGCCGGATGTGGTGAAAAGCTTTTTGGAGTGGGATGACGCGTGCAATGCCAGCATGCGCGAGGCTGGCCAGAAGGCCGAGTTGGAACTAGAGGCGAGGCCGCCTTCGCCCACGCCTGAGAAGCTGAGCGCTCGTATCACGCAGGAAATGAAGAGGTCCATGAACTTGCCGTAAGGTGTATGATGGTCGAAATATACGGTATCCGTCATTTTTTTCACGTCGGAATCTTCACGTCACTCTACAGGCAACATGTCGTCTGGTTGGCAGCATCACTTGTGTTTGGCCTTGTGTGTGTTGACAATGGTGGGGCGAATTTTGTGGAATGTGGGTGCTGGTCTGGTGCATCGTGCGCTAAACAAGGCTCATATCCGCCCAGGCATGGGCATCACCTACCCTTCCGTTTGGCGTGCGCGGCCTGGTTTCCTGGACTGCGACATTAACCTGCATTTGAACAATGCGTCCTACCTCTCCAACATGGAGTTGGCGCGATGGCACTTTTGCGCGTGCGTTGATCTAAATTCATGGCTATTTTCATTGTTATTGTTTTTCAACGCCAAACTATGATTCATTTTCTTATTTCCATGTTTCTGGTTTTTGGCAGGGTGACGGGTATTTTAGGCAACATAGCTCGCCAACGCAGAGCGTTACTGGTAGCCTCGCAGGCCGTTCGGTTCCGCCACCCAATTCCACCATTCCGCCCGTACGAGATTCGGTCGCAACTCGTATTCGCCGACGCGGAGTGGATGTATTTTTTGCACAAGTTTCAATGCCCTACGACCGGTAAATTGTACGCCGAGGGGCTATGCCGCGCCAGTTGCAGGCAGGACGAGGAAAATATTTCCGCAGCCAAGTTGTACGCCGAGGTTTTCCGTGGCGACGTCGACGAGTTGCGTGGCCTGCCTAAGGACATGCCCGATGTGGTCGTGCGGTTGCTGGAATGGGACTCCTCGCAGCGCATCATGTTGGAAGCTCCCGCAGAGGCGGAGCGGCGCCAGGGCGAGACGGCCATGCCATCCGCCGTGGCACTGGCCTCGGGTGACAGCAATCTGTTCAAGAAATTGCTGGCACGTGCAACATCCTCCTGGAACTTGCCGATGTGATTCACACTACCAATCCGGATACCGGTATACAAAGCAAGAGTTTTGTAGAGAAAAAGAAGAAACAAGTTTCGTTAACCTGAATCCTCGCATCATCGCGAGGATGCGCACTTGCCACCTTCTCGAACATACCTTCGACGTCGCCTGTTTTAGCACCCTCGGCACAGATTTCTCTCGCTCGTTACAGCCCCTCTCGCTTTCTCACGTCGCACGCCGACAAGTTGTTCTCGATAAGACGCCCTGAAAAAAAATAAGACCTTCCACAGAGGACAGATGGTTGCAGAAATACTACTATACTTAAACTCCGTTATTAAGCTCGGTCCGCGCTGAACTGGAGCGTGCACTACGCTGAGAACGCGGCGGGACACAAGGATGGAGCGCGGCAGCCAGGTCTGCCTACTATTAGACTACTGGGGATCCATTCGCCTTTCGCAGCTCTCTAAACCACGCCGTCAGGTCAACTCAACGGTCCTTGAAGCGCGGAAAGGCGGCGCGACCCTTAACTTTGTTCTATCGGTTGGGAAGATGTCGGGGAAAGTCAAACGCTGAATCAGCATCGGCGCCGAAGACCCACAAACTCAAAATGTCCTGGGCGGCCGATTCAGATGAAGGTGGAAAACCTTGGCTCTACCAGTCGCTTAGTTGATCCGAGCGACCTTGGCAGGCACCACAACAGGGTTCTCCTCTTCAAGCTTGCGCTTGCCCGCCGTCTTGAAGTTAAAGGCGCAGTTGTGTTCCTCAGCGTACCGGTGCTTGCCACAGAACGTGTAGTCGCAGCGGCACTTGACTGCAGTCAAGCCCACCTTCACCTTACACTCCCAGCAGCGCCGGCGGTTCTTCTGTACGGGCTTTGTGTCTTCCTTCTTTTCTGGTTTATCCTCCACGACTTTGACAACAGGCTTCTCGTCCGCGCAGAGAGGCGAGGGCGGCAGCACCGACGACTTTGAGCGCTTCAGACAGCTCTTCCGGTAGGTCAGAGAAGCCTTCACGCTCTGTAGTACGGCAGGCGGCACACACGAATAGCGCGAGGCAGACGCCGAGGCGTCCGGAGATGCATCCACGCTGGACGGAGATGCCGCACCAGAGGGAGGAGACTTCAAGCAGTCGCTAGACGTCGGCGCCGGGGTGGTAGCAACGACCGAGGAGGAAGCTGTGGCTGTGGAGGTAGCGCTGGCGGACGACACGCTAGCGGGAGCGTCTGCGGAGGGGGCGCTGGACGACGTCGAAGTCTTGGTCACCATATTCAGCGGCGGAACGGCGAGAGGGGCGTCGTAAAAGACCGGAGACGAGCTGTGCGCCACCGAGCGAAAGCGGAAATGAGGTGCGAATTAGGCCTGCGATGGAGGGAGGGGGGGAAGAAAAAACCGCAGCACAGAGGCTCGCTCGCTTCTGGGACAGGGGCGGCAGGAGGCATACAAAAACAGTGTGTGGAGAGCGAACTGGGGAAAAAAAACTGGAGGAAGCCAGCATCTGTGTAACTTCCGCCGGATTATGGCCAATCGGGACACGCCATCCGAAAAAATGCCCATCGGCGAGTCCGGATTCAAGAAAACATCATGTATACGCTGTATACCGTCCGGAAAAAGGGTCAAGACACAACCCTTGGGTCGACCAGGCGTTCGATTTATTTAGGCACTCGACCTTCGACGGCAACGCTTTGTTTGGAGACAGTCGGCAAAAACGATATGGGGCCGTTGCCAGCAAGATCTCTCGGTGCCGACGGCATGCTTCCCATCGTTTCATACAGCAGCAGATGGCCGCGATCGCCGAAGCCGGCAGCCGCGGTTCTTGTTGTGCACTATTGCACTGTCTTACATAATACTGGTTTCTGGCAGCACACCCATCTGGGGAATAGGCTCCCTTTTCTGCCTTTATTGCGTTACGGGCCGAACAACAGCAAACTATGCCCGCGAAGAGGACGACGACGCGGCTGCTGTGTTCACACCGACGATCAGTCGCAACCGTCCCCTTCGCTTTGCAGTTGATATTCTCCATTACTGCGACGATTTCCGTCCGGGCCCGGGTCCTTTCCCATCTGCATTGCCTGTCCTGGAAAAGCATCCACGCAAATACACACACGTCGAGTTTGGTCTCTTGCGTTATGACCCTATCCGGCGACGACTTTTGACTTTAGCTATCCCATGATACACCATACACCACCCTGCCATCCAGCATGACCATCACTCTGTGTCACTATCCACTTCAATGACGCATTTGACAACACCCTTCTGCATTCAACGGAAGAGCAGCCATGCGGCTCGGCCTGGCGTCTCCGTCGGCTCCGCAGGCGTCCGACAGGCACCTTCCACCTGCAGTGGCACATCGCTCGTCCGCCTTCTGCCCCATTGATGTGGATGGCGACTCCACAGACGACGCGAAGTCTCCGGCGTCTCGCCATCACGATTTGTCCGCACTCTCGTCTCCCAACACCCTACCATCACTCCTAGATCTCTCCAGCGATACCGCCTACAATAATGGTACTACTCGCCGCCAAGCGAGAGCGCTGGAAATCCACTCTGACGACAGCGAAACGAAGCAGAGCGAGCACAAGGACGACACAGAGTCGCACAGTAGCAGTGTCCGCCTCTCACCTAACAGACACGAAGAGACCAAGAAGCCGGCGCTCAACTTCTTCTTCAATATTGACCGATCCACACCCAAGAAGCCGCGCAGAGACTATTTCAGCTCCGGTCACATCAGCGCACACAGCTCTCCAGTCCCGGACGAGCTCCACGAGATCATATCGGCTGCACGCACCAACATCTGCGGTCAAATGTTTGATCGCTGTGAGCTCGAGTTCGGAGAAGATCGAGTGAGATTAACAATCTGGAAGGACAACAAGGCACGATGGCAAGGAAAAGTCAAGTACGCGCACATGGCACGCTTCTGGTACGTGGTGAACATGCTTGGGGCTATTATGAACAATTACAAATTGATTATTGTTTATTGCTGTGTACTGTTGGTCAGCTTCTCGCGAGTTGATCATCCTCCATATATCCTCTTGATGCAGCTGGAGAACTCAAGAGGCAGGTCGGACTTTGCAACCTTTTACGACCCCATTTTCGCAAGAGTATGCGAAGAAAACGTGGCAAAGGATCAAACAATGCCAAGTATGTTTCTGTTGTAGTTGTCAAGTTTCGTATTGTGCTAAACGTTGTTTTGTGCTGCAGAGGTGTATGGCATCGTGTTTTATTTCGATGAAGAAATGAACTATATGCGCTGTCGGAGTATGGGCGACAACAACCCGACATTGGCGCATCTTTTCAAAGAGAAATTATCGTAAGTAAGTTTGTTTCTTGAGTACGAGATCTGTTTCTAACCAGCAATTGTTGCTTGTTCGTTGTTTGATTGAAATACATGCAGAGAGAGTGAAGTGCGGCAATTCGTGAGACTGGACGTGCCGAGTAGGCCGCGTCGTATCGAGGTGAAGAACAGCTCGTCCTCAGGCGCGAGTCGTAGCTTGGTGTCAAGGGTGGGGAGCGGAGCTAGGCAAGCTTTCGGCAGTGTGACGTCCTTCTTTCGCCCGGCACCACGACCTTCTGTCTTAGAAGAGGACGAAAACCCCTCAGTTGTGCGAGATCGTGGCAGTTCAACCCCCCAGGGTCGAATGCTCAATTTGTCACGTGGTAGTGACCCCATACCGCCTGACTTGGACGAGGAAAAAGCGCCGATCTCTGTTGATGATGCAGGTATTGACAAGAAAAAGTATCGAAGTTCACTTGCAGACAGCGGTGCCGACTGTGTGGTTATAATTCAAAACACCCAGCAAGATGAAGCTGAGAAAAGAGACAACTCTGCAGCGTCTTCTCCATCGCAGGAGGAAAAAGCGAGCGAAAAGGTGGAGAGCAGGAAGCGAGCAGCATCAAGTCGACGTGAGGATGAGAAGCTGAAACGGAGGAGAATCGAGAGTCGTCGCAATGAAGTGCTGCTCACGTATCCGTACGATGGTTCAGACACGTCGGGACGGATTTCAGTGACACTCGGCGACGTGGATCGCCTCGTTCCAGGGGAGTTCCTGAACGACAATATCATCGACTTCTATCTACGGTTCGTAGACGAAGGCTGGTAGACGAGAATGTCTACACGGTACTGACGTTTGAATCGCCTTGTTGTATGTAGGTTCCTTTGGCGACATTTGCCTTCGTGGCAACAGCAGCAGACATACTTCTTCACCTCACATTTTTTCACACAGCTGAACGGCACGAACGGAGCTCACGAACTAACAACGGCGGATCCAGACGAACGATTCGCGCGAGTTACTCGCTGGACGCAGAAGGAGACCAACCTGTTTGACAACCGATTCTTATTTATTCCTATAAACGACAGGTACTGTCCGTCTGGCAGGTTCTGAATGGCTCAGTCTTCGTATATCTGACAGCTTTTTTTTTCTTATGGTATGTCTGCATAGCTTCCACTGGAGTGTTGCTGTGTTTTGCAATCCAGGCTCGGCTATTATCAAAAAGCACCGAAAAGTTAGGCGTCGTCGCCGAATGATCACCGCACGTAGCTCGGACACGAGAGAGGTGGTGGATTTGGTGGACGGTGGTGATCAACATGAACGACCTTTAGAAGCAGCGAGTAACGATGGTGACAGTGTGGAAGAAGAAATCGAAGAAGAGGAAGTGCTGTCGTGTCAAGAAGATCGACTCGCCTACCCTCCTTGCCTCTTATTTCTGGATTCTCTTCGCTGTCATCGAAAGAAGAAGTTTACGAAAATGCTGCGCGACTATTTGGAATGCGAGTGGAAAGCACGTTACGCTTCCAGTGCTGCTGCTAATGTTTCAAAAACAGAAGATGGTGTGGATGAGGAAGAGTCGATTGTGACAATGTTTGACTCGGAAAGCATCGGTCTCCTCGAGCCTAATGTAAGTCACCCATTGCATTTCAGTCCCTGCAATGGCATGGTGTATACTAAGTTGATGGCTGCTGTAATGTACGCAGATCCCTTTGCAGAGCAACAGTTCAGACTGCGGAGTATTCCTGCTCATGTACGCTGCATCGATCGTACACTGCTTTCCTGCCGGTGTAACGCGTGAGGACTTGGAAAACAATTTGACGTCGTCACTAACACCAACCATGTTTCGGGACGAGCATGTGCTGGAATTTCGTGAATATCTGCAGCAACTGCTATTCAGTCTGCAATTTCTAGAAAAGCACGGGATTCCGGAGGAAAAAGTCAAGGACGAGGAACTCGAGATGTTCACGATCGACTAGAGGATCAACCGATATGCTCATGACGGATGTTTCATAAATATTAACAACACCCTGTCAATATGCACCAATGCTATCGAACTAATTTCAGTTTTCTGTGAAGAGATACACTACGGTGAGTGGTTGGGAAGCAGTCGACGGAGTCCACGCACCATGAACTCGCGCTGGCTGGGGATTTCCACCACCAAGTCGAGTGTTCGCCATGGACAAATGATGGAGAGACAGAGTTCAGGTGACGGCACAGTCTGCGAGTCCTTGAGCGATAGGAAAGCCTCCGTTGCATGACCCACCTTGATCTCCGTGATCTCTCGAAGCGGGATGGTACGTCCTCGTTTACTGCTTCCAGATGTTCCGGTTTCATTCCTGTTTGCACCTCGCGGCATTGCGTTCTTTCGGGCGGTCCAGGTGATACTTTCTTCCATGAAGTTGAAGGTCAAAGCAGTGGAGTGCGGCGTTGTTGAATTTTTGTAGCCGTATTTGACAACCTGGAAGCCACGAGACAGCAACTCAGCGAATCCCAGAGCTTCGCAGTCCTCAATACGAGTGCGTTCCAACTCTCGTGCAATGCTGGCACCAACATCGACGTCATTAATCCAAGGATGACTCAGCAAGTCTTCAGCAGAGATACGCTCAGTGTCGTTAGTCTTCAGCATCTTCAGCAGCGCGTCTTGTGCCAAGGGACTCACGGTACGCCACTGCGCATTCGAGAGACTCAAGCAGCTCATATCGCGCACGTCAACACCAGTCGGAAAGTGATCCATACACTGCAAAGCTGCCGCAGACTCCACACTGAACGGGAATGCGCCGAAGAGCAGCACATACAGCACAATGCCAAGACTAAAGACGTCGGATTTCAAGCCATACGGTCGCCCGCAAAGCAATTCCGGCGCAGCATATTCCAGCGTGCCACAACTGTGTCTAAGCATGCTTGTAGAGTGTTCGAGTTGCTTGGCCAGCCCGAAATCTGCGATCTTCACCATATTTCCGTGGATCAGAATATTCTCCGGCTTAATATCGCGGTGAAGTACACAGCGGCGATGCAAATAGGCGAGTCCTTCGACTACCTGACGAATGATGCGTCGAGCCTCAGGTTCCGGAAGACGCTGGCGTTCAATGAGCTGGTCGCACAAATCGCCGTCTTTCAAATAGTCCATGACCACGTAGTGGAGATTCGCGTCACGTGCGTAAACACCTTCAAGACCGACCACATTAGGATGCGACAGAGTGCGGAGCAGACGTTCCTCTTCTTCCAACGCCTGGGAGATCTTGCAGCACTTTACCGCACACACTTGGCCAGTCATGCGATTCACCGCCCGGTGAACGATCGAGAAGGAGCCTTCGCCGATCTCCTTCATCAGCATATACTTGGCAGAAAAAGCGTCGAATGTTCCCACTTCTTCCACACTTTTCACCATACTTGTGGAATCCGTAGACACGCTACGATCACTAGGAGACTCAGATGGTAAGGGCATCTCGTCTGTGTCTTGTGTGACTTGAAGCAGCGCGCGTTTTCGAGCTTCTATCATGAAGCGTATGCATTCTGTCCACGCCGCGTGGTCATCTTCGTCGTCTGCTTTAAGAATTACTGGTACTTCCACAGCTTTGGCCGGTGTTTTGTGTCCCGTGATCTCGACATGCTTCAGAATAAGCGTCAGGGATCCTGAACTGGACGTCCACGTTCGTCGGCGCTTTTCCGACAGCTCATCTGTCATACTGTGGCGTTTTGGCGTATCTGGTGCGTGATCTCCATGATTTTTATCCTGTTCCAGCATCGAGTTGCTAGTAAAAATTACTTCAAACAGCGGCGTCGCTGCGTCTTTCGTCTTGTAACACACGAGTCCATGCTCTCGAAGACGGAAATATTTCCGTTTCCAGCTCTTAAGTAGTCCTGCGGCCTTGGTAACACGGTGCTGTAGATACCCGCCGTGATACCGTTTGCCACTTTGTTGACGAGGACTCAGAACACCTTGATACGATAGTGACGGCGTATTTTCCGGTTTGTTCAGGTCGAGATGCGGCATCTCCTTGTGACGTGCTGGCAATTGTTGCACCTGAGCGTCCCCCAACTCGTCAAAGTCCGAGGAACCGGCAGAGCTGGCGCGGCCGTCTCGTTTGGACGCCGGATCTGCCTCAAACATGAAGGAGGGCGACGCCATGCACGTGGAGACCTCCGACGCCGCCACCGTTGAGGTCGGAGAGCTCGCGTCGCTCGTGCGGTGGCGCTGCTTTTTGTCTGGCGTTAAGGGAGTTGACGGCTCAGGTTCGTGGCACGGACTGAGCTGGGATGGCGAAGGAACGAGGTCGGCCATTGGCGTTTGCTGCCTGGAAATAGCGCAAGCGATCGGGCTTTTTTAAACCGAAGTTTCTGTGGTAAACCAACATGCAGTGAGTGGAACGTGACAAAATGGCAAGTAGCACTAGCGGCAAAGTGGCAAGTTATCGTCAAGCCTATAAACATACCGTTGTCGTCGAGCGGGGAATTCTGAAAGTGAAGCTCCGGCTGCGAGTTTTCCGAGCTCGCGTGAATGCGTGCACGATGGGTGTCCCACTGTACCACAGCCTACACACAACCCGCACTAGATTATACAGGCTGTCGGAAATAGGGAAAGAAAACAAATGTCCCTACAGCCGGTATGCGATTCTGCAGGGCAGGCGCATCTCACTGAAACCCGCTGACATTAAAACGAGGGCAGCCAGATTTATGACGCACGGCTTGAGGATGGACGCTGGTGACACCCGCCGACGCTGCTCGCTAGGAGAGCGAAGGAGCCGTCGACGTCGATCTTCAAGCAGCTCGTGCAGTAGCTCGTCGTCTTCTGACAGCTCCGACCGCTTTTCGCATCGATATCGGCGCTCTAGCTGCCGAACAAGTCGCCCCCGTAGTCGGAGTCCTCGCAAATTCGAGGATTGCCATGGCTACAGACGTCGCTCACGCTCTAGAGATAGTCTAGAAGCTGCCCAACGTGGCGCTCGCTTTGCTGCTCGTGTAAGTCTGGTTTGGAAGTTATGCAAGTGTCAAAACCTCGTACTGACGCTTTTTGCGCTATTGCAGCGCGTCCACCATAAGGAAGAGCGAGAATCGCGTAGATCAACGTCCCGGCGGATCGCGCCGAATGCTACCGCATTAAAATCCATTATGTTAGGCACTGCGCGGTCCAGAGATCGCATGGACGAACTCGAACAAGCACGAGCCAAGGAGAAACTCGCAAGTCTGGATACAGCAAACACTTTGGCACAGTGATGGAGAAGACAACTGCAAACTGGAATGCTTTTTTTTTTATCAATTTCTTAGGTTGAAGAAATCTTCTATAGTTTCTGTGCTCAGCAGGGCATTCGATGCCAACCGCGTTATTACCATGCAAACGCCATCGAAATGTCCACTTCAGCATAACCTGCTTACACGGCGTGATCCTTGATCGGATCCCAGCAGGTAACTAGGTACTCATCCAACGCCGCAAGCTTGGCAAACTGAGCATCCGTCAGCTTGATCGCAGCAGCTTCGAGGTTGGATTTCTGACGCTCCTCGTGAACGGATTTGGGCAGAGTGATAAACCCATTGGCCAAGCTGAAGGCGACAAGGACTTGAGCAGGAGTAGCACCCGCCTCCTTCGAGATCTCAACAAGTGTGGGATTCTCCATTTTCTGAGCCCTTGCCAACGGCGAGTACGCCTCAAGCAGAATGTCGTGCTCCTGGCAATACCTCACCAGCGTCGGACGCATAAGCCACGGGTGCAGTTCCACCTGGTTCACCGCGGGTTTCACCTTGACAGTGTTCAACAACTTCTCGAGATGAGCTTCACCAAAGTTGGACACACCGATATCCTTCAGAATCCCCTGTTCATGCAGTTCTTCAAGCGCACGCCAACTTTCATTGCGTGTAGCAGCGTCACCTGGAGCATGAAGCAGGTATAGATCAATGTATCCGAGTCCGAGCTTCTCATTGCTAGCTTTCGTCGTCGCGATTGCCTTCTCGTACCCCCAGTTGAAAATCGAAAGCTTGCTTGTCACGAAAATTTCCTCTCGTGGAATGCCAGAGTCCTTGATGGCACGACCTACGTCAGCCTCGTTATCGTAGTACTGGGCAGTGTCGATGTGACGGTAGCCCAACCTGAGCGCCGAAAGCACAGCGTTGTAAGTCTCGGGGCCAGGCTCCGACTGGTACACTCCCAATCCGACGACCGGGATTTCAGCTCCACTGGGAAGCTTCTTGGTGGGGATTTTGGC